GAATTCATTGTTTGACTTTATACGAACTAGATGTACCACCAGTAGTCATGGGTATTCATTTTGTTTTGCCTTTATCATTTTTTGGTTTCACTTTTAAAGTGGCAGTAGCCATTAACTATGTTTCCATCAACCTATTTTATCCACAATTTGGAAAATCGGATAAAAAAATTCTTCATGGAAATCGATGCATCTAAATTTTGAAAATGCACAGAAAAAAATGTATGCGCATAACTGAGTAGGAAAAACTTTTAAACTTTTTCATTCATTGTTTTGAATGAGGCACAAGTCATTTGTAATTTAGGAAAAAAGGCCCCAAGTGGCTTTTCCTAACGCAGAAATTCCAGATGATTTTTGGCACAGATTTATCAGGGAGTAATGGTTTTGTTCTCTTTGACTCATTAGAAGGAAACAGTGATTTATTTGCAAATGTTTCATTTGATATTCCAGTTTAGCACATAAATCCAATCTATATACCGTTGAAGTCAGAATTATTGGCCCTCCCAAATTATTAGCCCAATTTTGTTACATTTCAGTTTAACGGAAAGATTTTCTCAACACATTCATTCATTCGTTTTTTTGTCAGCTTTGTCCCTTTATTAATCCGGGTTCGCCACAGCAGAATGAACCGCCAACTTATCCAGCATATGCTTTACGCAGCATATGCCCTTCCAGCTGCAATCCATTTCTGGGAAATATCTATACACACTCATTCACACACACTCATAGACTACGAACAATTTAGCCAACCCAATTCACCTATACCACATGTTTTTGGACTTGTGGGGGAAACCGGAGCACCCAGAGGAAACCCACGCCAACACGTAGAAAACGTGCAAACGCCACACAGAAATTCCAACTGACCCAACCGGGGCTCAAACCAGCAACCTTCTACCCACTACACCACCGTGCTGTTATTCCGCTTGCGCTTAGAAGACAGTATGCCAACGTGCAATGAACGCGTTTAGGCATTTGGAGGAGTGAGACACGGAGCACAGACACTCTTGACAGTTCTGGAGGTAAATATTAATATAATAACACTAATACTGAAATGGTTTAGGCCTTTTAGAATGACCAAAACAACATTTACGATGTTTTACAATGTGGTCAGCCTACTGGTTTATTCACTCACACACATTTTTACCATCACACGATCTCTTATAACAAAATCACATGACTTTTTTTTTTAAATGCTCATAATGGAATTTGTTCGGTAAAAGTGTTTCCATTGTAGTTTATGCGCATCTTTTCTTATGGAATAAAATGTTTATCCTACTCAGTTATGCTCATGTTTTTTATTCACATTTTTTAAATTTATGTGCAACTTGGCGTTTCCATCAACCAGCTAAAATGCGCATAAAAATAGGTTAATAGAAACATAGCTAACGTATAACAGTGGTTTGTTCTGTAGACAATAAAAAAATATTGCTTAAGAAGGCTAATAGTTTTGACTTTAAAAAGTTTTTTTAAAAAATTAAAAACTGCTTTTATTCTAGCCAAAATAAAACAAGTAAGACTTTCCCCAGAAGAAAAAAATATTATAGGAAATACTGTGAACAATTCCTTGCTCTGTTTAATATAATTTAGGATCTATTTAAAATAGAAACAAAATCACAAGAGGGTGAATTATTTTGATTTCAACTGTAAATACATTTTAATGAAGAACTGAGGAAATAATCATCTGTATCTTGGATGGCCAGAAGTTACATAAATTAACAGCAGACGAGCTCAAATCATCAGGGCCAAAGACAGTAAACAGGGCCAATCACATACTTGTTTGTTAGGACTTACGGGTGCGTAAATGATAACACAATCGTCATTTGTGAGTGAGCTACCCCTTTAGGACACAACCACATAAGACTCCATTCCCTTTCATACATACGCATGCAAGCCTGACGCAAGCTCCATCTTCCTCTGGATGTCAAGTATGCTGACATCTGACCTGCATTTTCATACAGCAAAAAAAGAACAATCTTATTATTCACATGATTAAAAATACCCTCTTCTTTTTGTGACAACATCATCGTTATTGTGTGCAACTCAATTTTGCATGTTCAAAATACAGCCATACCTTTGCGATCACCCCCATGATGGAGGACAATTGTAATGTTGTTGACTTCTGCAAGGAAATTGGATGTAGATGTTACAATTGCCCTCAGTTCCTTCAACTCAAAAGTTCGAATTAGTAAAATGAGGCGAGTTGGTTGTTAACATCTTGCATGTTTTTACACGACAGGAAAAACTCTGATGAAGCTGATCTGGTACCAGCCAAGGAGGCGAATGTAAAGTGTCCACAAGTGGTCATCTCGTTTTATGAGGAACGCCTCACCTGGCATTCATACCCGACTGAAGAGGAAGAAAAAAAGGACGACAAAAACTAGACAAAAAAAAAAAAAAAGACATAAGGGACAGTCGTTGTGTGTTTGTCTTTTTATTTTAAAGAGCTGGCAAATGATATTTGTCAGGAACAACTTTGTAAAAATCAGCTGTAATCTACATTTTAGTGTTTTAGTTTGGGTGTAGATGAAGCGGATCGTGACTTTGCACCTGTAATGTACTCTTCAAGCTTTTTATTGATCAACATTCGAGTCATGAAGTTCATACATGTGGAAAAACAAGTGTTCTTTATATGTTCCCTACCCTGTGGAGATCATACTGAGTTGGTTTCATTCAATTCTGTAGCTGTCTCTGGAAAAAGTGTTCCACCATCCTTAATTCTATGTATATATATAAATATATAACTACCGATAAAATGTTACTGCCTTAACAGATTAATAAGAAAATGACAATTTTATACATCTGTCAATGCAGGTGATCATTGAATGCATGACTGTATAATGTTGGCCTACGGGAAATAGGTTTAAGGCATTGTTTATCTGGCTTTGATATGATTGTTTGTTCGTTTTTAACCAGCAACAGTGCTTATTTGCCCACAAACTCTCTCTCTCTCTCTCTCTCTCTCTCTCTCTCTCTCTCACACATGTGTCTGGTCTTATCATTGGTGCTATCTGTGGTTGACGCCCATTGGATATTAACAGTCTGACATTTGTGTTTGTAAATATGTTCCAGCACATGGACATCACTGTGTACAGTCAGCCGAGATTTGTTTTTTTACATGCTCCTACACTGTTTTATTGCTGATAAACGGAGGAAAAAAATGGAAGAATTGTAAAGTTTGTCTTTCTGAAGAAGTATCTCGAGTGTGTTTTAATGATCGGTTGCTAGTTTAGTTATTCATGTTGTTATTGCGTACTATCACAGCACTTGAATTAGCATTTTCAGAAATAAAAAAAAAATCTTTGTTGTTATTCTGTCAGATTTGGTCGTGCTTGTGTTTGTTATATTAACGTGCTAGTTATGAATTAACAAGGGTTGATTGTTTTCTACCTACTCACCAGCCACTTTATTAGGTACACCTTAGTAGTACCGGCTTGGACCCCCTTTTGCCTTTAGAACTGCCTTAATCCTTTGTGGCATAGATTCAACAAGCTACTGGACATATTCATCAAAGATTTTGGTCCATATTGACATGATAGCATCACGCAGCTGCTGCAGTGAACTCAGTTTCATGTCTGAGATGATTCACACTTTATGACGTGGCGCGTTATCCTGCTGGAAGTTGCCATCTGAAGAGGGGTACACTGGTCATAGAGGGATGGACTTGGTCAGCAACAATATTCCTGTAGGCTGTGCTGTTGACACAATGCTTGATAGGTACTAATGGGCCCAAAGTGTGCCAAGAAAATGAAAATACTGAAATACTCAAACTAGCACGTCTGGCACTAACAACCATGCCATGTTCAAAGTAACAGAAATCATCTTTCTCCCCTATTCTAATGCTCAGTTTGAACTGCAGCAGATTGTCTTGACCATGTCTACATGCCTAAATGCGTTGAGTTGCTGCCATGTGATTGGCTGATTAGAAATTTGCATTAACAAGCAGTTGAATAGCTAATTACTTAATAAAGTGTCCGGTGAGTATATATAGTTTAGTACATCAAATATTTTCGGATGGTCACATGACACACGGGTAAACAAAATATTTCATCTTTATTCAGAAAGTATGCATTAGGTTGCATACCTAAAGTCATTTATTAATAACACAAAAATACTGTTGATTTAGCATTTAATGTTACAGAAATTATGAAAATGTAGAAAAATATATACATTTAATTTGTAGTGTAGTAATTTTTTTTTGTACAAAATAATTTTACATTGTTATTAAATAAATGCAGCCTTATTAAGCATAAGAGGCTTCTTTTAAAAATATTGGAAACTGCTAGCAAATTTTTGAAAGAATTCTTTTAAATTGTTGTTAGTGCTGAATGAACAGCAAAACATTTTCTTACTAACCAAGATTATATAATGCTTTCAAATTTGTACTATATATATAGTGTTATCTACGGTGGCAGAGAGAGCTTGACGTTCTGCAATTTAAGAAAACACGTGCAATTACAAAAAAACGGCAGCAAGCTAAGAAAAGATCTTCATCCATTTGACAGCACATGCTGCAAATCATCACGATGCATAAACATTAATGAAATGTGCTGCATTTTCACACATTACAAATTAACAAAACGCGCTGCATTTTCTCACATCACTTGCAAAAACATCAGAACACATAAGAGATGTTTCAATTGGACCCTCAAATGTGACGGATGCCGCTGTGCTGTTACTATTGCTCAGTGAAGTTGTAGGTGATCTTTAAAAGTTGAGTTTTTTTGTTTGTTTATTTTAACATCTTGATTCTCGTCTTTTGTATTTTATAAGCCTAAATAACCATAACCTAAACAGCCGGGTCTGTCACGTTTTAAGATCCCCTTGAAACATTTCCATTGTGTTCTGCTTTATTTGAAAATGTTGTGAGAAGATGCAGCGAATTTTCATAAACTGCTTTGCGAGAAATGTGTATTTGAAATTTGTTTGTGTTCAGAAATTTTTTTGTAAATTGTTTGCATTGTGAGAAAATGCAGCGCATTTTCGTAACTTGTTTGCATTGTGAGAATATGCAGTGTTTACGAAATTGTTTGCATTGTGAGAAAATGTAGTACGTTTTCGTAAATTGTTTTAGTTGTGAGAATATGCAGTGTGTTTTCGCAATTTGTTTGCGTTGAGAGAAAATGCAGTGTTTTTGTAATTTGTTTGCATTGTGAGAATATGCAGCGTGCTCTCGTAATTTGCGTTGTGAGAATCTGCAGCGTTTTCGTAAATTGTTTGTGTTGTGAGAAAATGAAGCGTGTTTTCATAATTTGTTTGCGTTGTAAGAAAATTTGTTTTCATAATTAGTTTGCATTGAGAAAATGCAGTGCGTTTTCGAAAAATTGTTTGCGTTTTCGTAAATTGCATTGTGAGAAAATGAAGCGCGTTTTCATAATTTGTTTGCGTTGTAAGAAAATGTTTTTATAATTTGTTTGCATTGTGAGAAAATACAGTGAGTTTTTGTAAATTGTTTGCGTTGTGAGAAAATGCAGAGGGTTGTCATAATTTGTTTGAATTGTGAGAAAATGCAGCGCATTAAGCTCTCTCGGCCACAGTAGTTATCACTATGGAAGTTTTTTCATAACAAAAGTAAAATGAAATTCAAATGCTTAAAAGATCAAATGATAAATCAAATGCTCAAACTATAAATCAAATGCTCAAACCGACATTGCAAATGATAAATCAAATCCTCAAACTGACTCTGCAACTGATAAATCAAATGCTCAAACGGACTTTGCAAATGGTGAATCAAATCCTCAAACCGAGTCCTCAAATGATAAATCAAATCCTCAAACTGACATCGCAAATGATAAATCAAATCCTCAAACTGACATCGCAAATGATAAATCAAATCCTCAAACTGACATCGCAAATGGTGAATCAAATGCTCAAACTATAAATCAAATCCTTAAACCGACATTGCAAATGGTGAATCAAATGCTCAAACAACTCTGCAAATGGTGAATCAAATCCTTAAACGACTCTGCAAATGGTGAATCAAATGCTCAAACTGACATCGCAAATGGTGAATCAAATCCTCAAACTGACATCGCAAATGATAAATCAAATCCTCAAACTGACATCGCAAATGGTGAATCAAATGCTCAAACTATAAATCAAATCCTTAAACCGACATTGCAAATGGTGAATCAAATGCTCAAACAACTCTGCAAATGGTGAATCAAATCCTTAAACGACTCTGCAAATGGTGAATCAAATGCTCAAACTGACATCGCAAATGGTGAATCAAATCCTCAAACTGACATCGCAAATGATAAATCAAATGCAAATGAGGTGTCAATCAACCAGCATAGGCGGAGCTTTAAGGCGGAAGAGTTTGTTGTTGACAACAACCGGTAGCGCTACGACTTTTTCAAGGCGTTCAGATTTGCGTGCACTATTCCACGTCTTATCCGTATAAACTCGTGAAAGAGAAAGCAAGAAATCTCCTACTGCTTCTGTCCACATTCTGAAGTGTTCATCAGATGGGTACATCTATCATAGGAGGCCACGAAAAACCATACGGCAAGATGATAAAAAAAAGTTACATAACTGCATTTGATTCACCATTTGTGATGTCAGTTTGAGGATTTGATTTATCATTTGAGGACTCGGTTTGAAGATTTGATTCACCATTTGCTAAGTCCGTTTGAGCATTTGATTTATCAGTTGCAGAGTCAGTTTGAGGATTTGATTTATCATTTGCAATGTCGGTTTGAGCATTTGATTTATCATTTGATCTTTTAAGCATTTGAATTTTCATTTTAATTTTGTTAGGAAAAAACTTCCATATATCACCTTAAAGTCCCCATGAAATCAAAACTAATCGTATGATTTTGTTAGATCACATTGCCAGGTTTCTATACAATTTATCTGTGCATGCATGTCATTAAGAACCAAAATTGCCTTCACAATTTACAACAAGCCTTCATTAGTTAATGTTAATGTATTTACTAACATGAACAATACTTGAACAGCATTTGTTAATCATAATTCAACATTAACTAATGCATTTTAACATCCAAATTCATGTTTGTTAACATTATTTAATGCACAGTGAGTTAATTAACTAACAATGAAACAATGAATCAACATGAACAAATGCTGTAGTAAATGTATTGTTCATAGTTTGTTCATGTTAGTAATTTTAACTAACATTAACTGATACAACCTTATTGTAAAATGTTACCAATGGTGAGCAGGAGGAGTCTGTTAGGTTGTAATAATTTCCTGATCTTTCAGTTCAGATCTATTCAGTTTCTCTAGGAACTTTCACAATACAAACAAAAACTGTCGCAGCTTCTGGCTCGTGTGGACTTTAAATATGTGAGCCATGCCCAATTTCTTAAAATATGCGTAATCTAGAAGTGCATTTTCAGATTCCACTTAAAGATTAAAAGGACAAAGATTTTTTTTCTTAATGACATGCACAGATAAACTAGCATTGTGAGCTAACAAAATCATACGGTTAGTTTTGATTTCATGGGGACTTTAAGTTTACTAATTAACCTTGCACACTGAAACTAATATAAACATTCTCCATTCTCTTCTCCAGCAATCAAAAGAAAAAAAAAAGTTCACATTAACTATTAAGAGTACATTACTATGAAATACAAACATTTTTATTTTGAATTGGTTTTATTTAGCCATTCATTTATAATCACAAAATCCTCAGACTTTCTTTTAAATAACAGAAAAGCAAGGAAATGAAAGAAAAGTTTATTATAATTAATAAAAGAACAATTCCAGATTGCCAGCAAATCTCTCAACATAAATCATATAGGAATACTCTGAACAGGCAAATTCAAAGAAGGTGCAAAGTAGCCTGGCTAAACCAAGCAGTTAGGACAAGAGACGTACAGAACACAAAAATATTTACAAACCCAACAAGACGAACAAAAAAAACAACAGTGCTTCATGGCAAGTAGTTATGACATTATAACAGGGATTCGAACGTTCATCTAAGTGAATGAATCACTCGTCTTTTTCTTTATCTCTACCCCATCTACGCTAAGTATTTGTAACCAGTAACATAAAGATTGTCTCTTTATCCATTTCGGAGACACAATTCTTAAATAAAAATGACCTTTTCTTGCATATTTATTCATGTCGCACCAAACTGGACACTGAATGCGTCACGTGGTACTATATGAAGAGTGTAAATGGAAACGACAGAGACCGACAGAGGAGGATGAAGATTAACATTATGTAAATCAGACATTCACTTCAGCGTTACAGTTTTTTTTTCTACCCATTCATTGATATGTCAGTGTATAAGGTCAGCTATATCCTTAGGCTGCAGTAAAGCACGATCCAGTTGGTTATTGGCACAAGCTAACTTGCTTTAATTTGCCAGGAAACCATTCGTGGCTTCACGCAATTAGCAACGAAGGTACTTTTTTTTTCTTTTTTCGAAGAGTAGTGTATTCAGTAAAATAAAAATAATCTGGTTCACGTCACAACAAAGCTAAGACGTTGACCAAGATAATGAGAATTTTTAATTAAGGGTGTGTTCACACTTAGCTTGTTTGGTTCGTTTCTGAATTCTGGAGCAATTGCTCTGCTAGCATAGTTAATTTGAGTAAGAGTGAACACTGCAGTCCGAACCGAACAAAAATAGACTGAGACCAGTTAAAAGATAAGTCCACCTCCATACAAACTCTGGCATATGGTTTGTCTGAAATATCAACATCAAAAAAAATCAACATGGATAAAAATCTCAATAAACCAAAGACAGGATATTAAATCACAAGATGTGACGACAAAAAAACGTGGATATTCAAGCATATCTTGCTTTTCTCATAGATGTTGCCCAGTTTAACACGAGTGACAAAAATCCGGCAGATCTTTTTTTTTTGTGTACGACAGAAATTCCTGGTGATGTTGACGTTGCAAATGCCTATCCATGTTTTATAAACTCTTCACGAGCTCCTGCTTACAGCACTGAATGAAGTTTTGAGTTTTTTTCTTTAGATTCAGGCTTTTGAATATTGACAGTGTGAACGCTATTACAACCAGGAGCAAATTTGGTCCCGGCTAAACAAACCAAACTACAAGTGTGAACACACCCTGAATATAACCTGTGTCTTTTAATATTTGTATATTTATACGGTGAGCATTTTTTCTAATTGTTTTTTACAGCACCTGCAACCGCAACCAAAACATTTTGCAATGTTCCTTCATTTAAAACGGAAAAAAGCCATCGGCGCAAGGTGCAACGGCAAGTTTAGACCCGCAACAAAGGCTAAACTCCAACTTCAAAAGCAAATGACTCAGTTTGTTCCGGTTAATCCTATATACCAAGACACATTATTCAAACTGCACTGGTGCCACTCAGGAGTCCATGTCTGATGGCTTATTAAAAAGTTTATGCACAATGGGAGAGTAACATTAAAAGCTGGGAGCAGGGCCTGAGAGACCCTTTTCCCCAGCAGAAGAGGGAAAAAAGCTTACTACAGTGTTGATTTACAGTGCTGAAAGGGTACTGAAGCTGATTTATTAATAATGCAGTGTGTATCCATCCTCAGTCTGTACTTCCAATGCTTTTGCTCAAGCTAAATTCAATCTCGTTTTTTTGCACCACCCAAGTTCCTTGGCAAATTGTATTGACCCTCCAGAGAAATTTCAGGTGAGGTGAAATTGCGGTCCAGTAAGAGTAACGAACAGATTTAGTTCTTTTTTTCCAAGTGAAATTGTGACTTAAGATCCACAGAATGACCTAGATGATTGAGTATGGTGACAAGAGAATTGCACAACACCTTTGGTTAGTATTGGCATGCCTGTGGTTTCTTTTGGCTTCACTTCTAGCATTCAGTAGACTCCTTCTCTACCAGTGGTTCGTTCTCACCCACCAATGAAATCCCAGGGTATGTACTCACACACACACAGCATGGGTTAATGCTGAAAATGTAACAATTTTTGCATCCTCATTTTCAACGTCATCTTAATGATGTACTGTCATCAACTAGAAATTTTGGGAGCATTACCAAACAGTTCTTTCAATTAAGAACGTTTTTTTGGCGTCCTCCTTGACTTCCCATATCTTTCCAGTTCTTTCAGTTAGCATCTGAAAGTATGCCATCCTTCTATAAATCAGTAAGAAGTCTTTAATACATAAAGCACGTCTGCTTTAATGCCGCTTTGAGGAGAAAACTTTGGAACCGAAAAGGAACAAAGAAAACCCAATGCAGGAAGAGTAATCAATGATGCAATTTACTTCTCCTCGCTACAATCGCTTCAAAGAAAAAGGCTTCCTTCGCCTTTCAAAATACTTTTATGGAAAGTGCCTTTGCGAAAACTAAAAGGGCAGCAGTTCGAGCTCCTCACTTCTTTTTGTCCTTCTGCTTTTTGTCAGGCTTGTTGCTTTGTTCTGTGCTCATGTTACGAGGCATGAGGACAACGCCGTCCGGCCCGAACTGTAGACTGTACTCGTTGGCCGAGTAGGGTCGGCCTTCTTCGTTGCGCAGTTGTGCGAACAATTCCTGGGAAAGACTCTGAACCTTCTGCTTTGTCTGTCTGATGCATTTCATGTACTCGATCTTCTCCTTCAGTAGTTGAGACTTCTCACGTTGCAGGTCTTGCACTCCTTGCTCAAGGTTCAGGATAGTATCTAGCTTGCGTTTACGGCAGTTCTGTGCCGCCATCTTGTTCTTTCCACGGCGGCGGATGTCCCGTATGAGGGAAAGCTGGTCCTCATTAAGATGGTGCTTGGCAAGAAGCTCGTTGAACTCCTCAACAGGGAGGTTGATGATTTTTTCATTAGAGAATGGGATGTCCATGGCCCTTGCCCTACGCTCATCGCGGCTCGACTGCCTGTCAATGCAGTCTTGTGGGGGCTGGAGTTTCGTCTGCTGCATTTGCTTGTCTCTGCCTTTCTTGCTGCTGGATGTGGACAGCTGAGAACGCTCTGAGAAGGACGATGCCAGCGGTAGATTGTAGGTGTGATTGTGATTGACGCTTTCCAACTGTGGTACGCCATGAAATTGAGAAGGGTCTTGGTAGCTCATGCGGCATAGTTTGCTATACTCTGGCTGGTATCCTCCGACGGCTCCTTCCTCCGTTTCTGCTGTGGCTGCTTCAGAATCGGTGCTGTAGCCCACGGCTCCTTCTTCAGAAAATGTAGCAGAGGTGGATGAAGATGATGCAGCTGATGAGCAGGACGTCTCCGAGTTGCTGGGAGATGCTGGACTATGGCTGGAATCCAAAGAAAGACCTGAGTCTGAATCAAGCTCATCCTCGAGCTGAGAAGCCTGGGCTTGGCTGAAACCCTCTTCCATCGCAAGGTCTAGCAAGCTAATTTCATCAAGCATCGACTCTTCCAGCAGGCTAGAGAATGGATCTGGCAGCACCGGAGTAGTGGTTACGTTGGTTGTACTGTTTAGAGGTGGTGGGAAAAAGATTCCTGTCAAGTTAGTTGCTCCAAATGTTGAATTGATGTTGGAGGAGTTGCTGGAAGAGAGCCTGACTAAGGTAGGCTGCTGTCCGCCCAACTCTGGGTTAAAGAGTGTGGGAAAGTCCTGGCCACAGCTGGGAAGTAATGCCTGCTGGAGACTAACATCCTGGTTAATGAGAGTGGATCGTGGGAGCCCAAAATTTCCTACTGTTGCTGATTCTGTAGTGCTGGCATTGTTGTTATTGGGGTCATTATTTATGGTGGCATTTACTGCCGTATTGTTCACCTCCATGTCCTAAAAAAGACATAATGAAAGTTAGACAATGTTTCATGGTGTGATACTTAATTGCTGTCCTACATATTAATTTGACTAGAAATATTAACCTTAATTTAACCAGGTAAGTCAATTGAGAACCAGTTCTCATTAACAATGACGACCTGGACAAGAGGCAACATAAAAAGCAGATACAATACGAGATTAAATACATAATTGCATTTCAGATAACAATGTCTTGAATACACCTCTTTCATACAAATCATGAAAAAGTCACTGCTTATTATAATCTGAAAAACCTTTACCAGTGAGAGAGGAGAGCTGCTGTCACTTCAAGCTACAAGGTACAAATACAGTATAATGATGCATTCAGTTTTCACCTAACTATTTATGTTCACTAAAGTCTGTGTACATGAACCACACAATAGATGTTTTGTCAATAGCCCCTTTCACACAGTGATACCGGTAAATATCCGTAAAATTTCTGGAACGACTTTACCGGTATATTCAAAAAAGCGCTGTTCACACAGGCGAGGACGTTACGGAATTTTTCCGGAAAAGAGCATTCACACATCCATCGCAAAATGCCGGTAAATTCTGACATCATTAACCAGAAATGACCTCTAAACGGCTGCGCTTGTGTTTGTAAACTTTTTAATACATTACAAACTCTTCGGATGGATCAGTATTGAGTACAACTCCAATGAAAACATAGAGAAACACTTTCGCATGTCGAGATGTTCATGATATGTGTGTGTGTGCTGGCGCTATGGGCGCTCACGGGCACACGCAAAGCTTGATGGTAAACAAACAACGGATTATCATAAACATTTTATTGATAATTATTTACACAGTTAGCATTAAGAAGGAACATAGAAACGTTATCTGACTAACATCTAGCAGCTAAATGTTGGAAAAATATTCAAAGGCTTTTATTCTCATAAACTGTGTGCACGTGAATGCGTCTGACTGTTCTGATTGGCTAAAGTAGACGTCTCTTGTCAGCACGTTCTAGACGTGGACGCGCTCTTTCCGGCAATCTTCCTTCTGCATTCACACAGCGCAGCATTCCGGCAAATTACCGATAATGTTACAACTTCTCTTTCCGAAAAAAAAATAGCCAGAATGAATTTACCGGTATTTTCAAAAAAGGCCTGTTCACACATACAACCTTTACGGAAAATTGCCGGTAATTTTCCGGAAAGGTCTGTATGTGTGAAAGGGGAAAATGTTGTGAGTAATTGAACATTCAAATGCAATAAGCTGCAAAAAAAGAACTGAAATCAGGATTGCATGCTGTCTAAGAAAGGTGCTTTTTGTCTGTACACTTCAGGTGATAGGCCAAATAATATAGCAAAATCACTAACAATAGAAATTTTAGATATTGAAGCAGTGATATATATTTCGATACACCCAGCCGTAATGTGAAGTAAGACCAACGTAAAAAATTACGGTGTAATGTGCTATTACGTTTGACTGACAGGATATACCATAAGTCAATGAAGTGAAAAAGGTATACTTTTAAACTGATTCTTAAACTTCATATCTTGAGAATCTCATTATAATCATTGTAACCTGACCTATAAATTCAGAAAGTCTTCAAATTCATCACTAGAATGCAAAGAATGAACAAACCTGCAGTTCCATTATGGACATAATGTCCTGCCACTGCTGCTCCAGATCTAGTGGTGTATCGGTCTGCGACAGTGTGGGTTGTAGAGGAATCCCTTGTGACGTTGAAGGCGTTTCTTCAGTTGTAGCTCTCAGCTGTGAGGTGGGAGCAGTGGCCTGGAACTATAAAAGACAATGCAAAATGACAATCAAATAATAATAAAAAAAACTGTTTTAATGTGCCACATAACAACATTTAATCAACTCTACCTCTGGCTCTTCTCCAAATGGAAAAGTTGCCTCCAGAAGCCTCAGACATTCCTGCAGGGATAATGAAGTCTGAGCACCGAGACTGGTAAGCTAGAAAATAAGACAAGAAAAGTCCATGTAATTACAGGCTTGACAGGAACTCATATGCGTCTACAGCTTACCAGCCTTTTAGGAAAACAATCTAAAAGCAATTTTAACCAAAACCTTGCTATGCTCCTCACACCTTCCTGTAAGCCTATCACATTACAGCACATACCTCCTCAGGTATGCTCTCTCCTGTCTCTCCATCAACATGAGTTAGGCTATGCACTGCTCGGAGATCAAGTCCATTTCTCCAGCTTTCCTCTCTTCCACCTGCCTCTTCGTTCTCTTCATTAGGTTTATCAGCCTCACTGTCCTTCTGCCGACTGCTATAGTTAAATACTTCTCGGCCAGCACCAAGGTCAATATCCTGTCTCCAAAGAATGTCTATGAGGTCAATGTCCTAGAAATATATTCATCAGAGGGAGGATCATTAAAGGGCTAAGATTACAAAACATCATTAGATAATTACATCCAATGAGGGACTTGATGCAGAAACATTAGCTATTATTTCTGGAATTGTCCCTAGTATAAATGTATACATTACAAATGTATTTTTCTTTTCTCCCTCACTCTATCTATATATACGGTATACATACATATATACAAATCAAGGCCCAAATGATATGCTTTTATGGTGTGAAAACATATATTATTATAGATTTTAAAATATAATATACTTTAATATGTAACGTAACAGGTTTAGTGTAGTTTTGTGTAGTGTGTAAATTGCAATATGATACAAGTTGGTATCGCTGCAGCCCGGAGAATCCCTCCAAGTGGGAGGGATTACACCGCAAGTAGGTTGGGTGACCTTGCAAGTAAAGGTTGATTTATACTTCTGCGTCAAGCGCAAGTGTATGCTACGGCGCAGCCTACGCATTGACGCATAGCCGTCGCTGATGTGCACCTCTCAAAAAATGTAACTACACGTCGCAACGGCGCGTAGCGCAAGCTCTGTGATTGGTCAGCTTGGTAGCACTGACGAGTCTGGGCGGGACCGAGAGCCGCGTGAGCCCAATGGAGCGATTGTTTACAAGTGTGGAGTCCCATATAGGAGCTCCGGATGGAAAGTTTTGTTTTGTGTTGACCTCATAGTTAAAGTTGTTGCATGTTCGCCGGTTCCTGGCTCAAAATGAGCGAGTTTGAGGCACTTGTACATTCAGGAAGCGTTCAGAAAAAACAAAACAGCAGCGAAGGAGCTCGACACAGAGGAACATAAACACTTCACTGCCAACTAGCGTTTTGGAAGTGTTAATGCAGACCAACAGAGACCGCGTGCAGAAGTATAAATGCACAGCTAAGCGCGTTGCATGCGCCGTGGGTTACGCCGATCACTTGACGCAGAAGTATAAACCAGGCGTAAGAGGGACTTAAACCACAAGTAGGTTGGGTTTAGGTGGTGCAGATACAGTATTAATAAAACACATCAGGTTGCTGTGAGGTTGGGTTTAGGGTTGGGGTAGGTGAAGAGACATTCATAAAGCACAACATTGAACTCAGTGTCATGTAATAGACATTAAAGGTGCAGTAGGTGATTGTATTCAGAAACATTTTTTGTTGTGCTGGTTGAAACTCTCTTTACAGTCCAATAGTAATGATTACAGTAAATGATCAAAATGTGTTTATATGTATTTTTATATTCTGGGTAAAGGATAAAACTCCGCTCGCAGATGCCCAGTCGGAGCCGGAGGACAGCCGAGCTCGGACCGATTACTGTAAAGCCAGGCGCGGGTATAATTCGCTCTTAAAGCGGCCGCACGGTCACGAGACGGACCGGGAGAAATCAAATGCTGAATTGAAATTTTTAAAAAACTGAATCAATACTGGAGTTACTTTAGCACACTGGAGGAAGGACGACACCATGGCTGAAGTATTACTGTTAGACAGGTAATTCTGTTTTAAAACTATTTTATGTTAGATTGTGTTTTGTTATGAATGACTTATATGCACAGACGTGTTGTTCAGCCACTAAATCTCCCGGTGAAAGATTGATGTGATTATTTTCAGTTTTATAAGGTTCTTTGACAGCATCTATAATGTAGATTTATATTTAGTTTAACAACAAAACACCAGTAAATAGCTTAACCTGCTTTATTGAGCTGAAGCTGCTTTTATATTCACATTGGGTCATTTTTGAACAACGATAGCCTTCCTATACTGTTTACCATGCTACTCTGAATATTAGCTCTGAAATAGCATGTAACGTTAAGTGTGGCTAAGTAATAAATGTAATTCCTGCTCAGCGCTGGCACTAACTAACTGGCGAATGACATGAACTAGTGGGTTGTCTGTCGGCTGTTGTGACCCGGTGCACGCGCTTGCGATTTCAGGGGGTGTGGCTTAGAATCACAGTCCCTCCCCGCCGTCCAAAAATAATATGCTAAGCGGTTAGCTTTTTGGCAGATCACCTACTGCACCTTTAAATAAATAAAAACTCCAGGTTTGCACAGCCCACTTAAAGCTCAATCCCACATACTTGGAGCTGGCTCTGACCTATGAGTATACCCTTCTCATATGATGTGCCTTATTTGGATGTAGGCATGGGACAATAACAAGTTTTAAAGGTTTATTGTGGTTTGGAAAAGTCAAGATTTTAACACCCCTAAAATGTTCTGTTATATCAGGGCAGGAGTGGGCAAACTCAATCCTGGAGGGCCGGTGTCCTGCACAGTTTAGCTATTAACACTAATCAAACACACCTGTACAAGCTAATCAGTGTCTTCAAGATCACTAGAAATCTATAAGCAGGTGTAATTGATTAGAGTTGTAGCTAAACCGAGCACGACACCGGTCCTCCAGGACCGAGTTTGCCCACCCCTGTGTTATACGATTCCCAAAATATGCAAGGCAGGAGTGCACAAACTTCCAGTAAAGTTTAGTTCCAACCCCAATCAGACACACCCGGGCTAGCTAATCAAGCTCTACTTTTTTAATCAGACTTTTTTAGATACATCCATGCAAGTGTGTTGAGGCAAGTTGGAGATAAAATCTACAGGACACCGGCCCTCCAGGAATGAGTTTGGACAGGTTGGACAAGTTTTTTTTGTGTGTTTTAAAACAATCTGTGTTTTTAAAACTAATTAAGTGGTCAGAAGTCAATCATTTATTTTAACTATTTAGCCTGACATATTTACTGCTCCAAAATGTTATAAATGTTTCTTTAAAAAAAGTGTTCAATGTTTTTTTTTATTTTTTATTAATCAATTGACCTTTTTTACCCAGACATTTTAAAAGAACTTATTTAAGAGCAGTAATCACAATACCATGATACCATGGTATTCTTATCCAAGGTATCTTCCCATCAGAAACTTAAACCAGCCCATGCCTATTTGGATGGCACAATATGAACTTTAAGCTGCAGTGTAATTGTGGTTATCTTAAATAAATGGGATTATATCAAATAACTATAATAAGATGTTTAATCAATAATCGCAAAAGGTCTACAAAAAGGTCTAAAAAAAGAGAAAACTTCTTTCTCAACAAAATGAAACACTACATATCCTGTGAGATCCTGACAACCATATGAGTAGACATCCTCTATCTAAAAGGCAAATCATCAGTAAATACAACAACTAATCTATACATACGTCATTAAAAAAAGCTGTGATTTTGCCAAAAAAATTATTACCATTTCCAAGCTTAAAAACCTTAAGATTAGCACAACTATCTAGCTTTCAGAGCTCTATCAATGAGACCACACCCTGTCCAGCCACTATTGAAGGACTCAAACATACAAGCAGCTCACAAACATTGCTTTTAATAGCCACTATTCAATGGCCTTAATCTAATATCGAGAGATAATAGCATAATGCTGTTCTCCCTTTGAAGAAATCAAATACGTTCCAACGTCAATCTAATTACAGCAGGCTAAGCTAAAAACACACAGCTACTGTACCTCTTTGGAGAGGTCGTCGCTGCTCTCTCTCTCCCCTTGCTCCTGACTGTCCTCAGGGGCCACGGCTCCCAGACTGTCCTCTCCACTGAGGCTGTAAGTGGTCTCAGAAGTACCGCCAGCCCCTCTCATGGCCGAGGCTTCGGAGTTGTTCACGTCCTCCAGGCTGCCCCCATTGTCCAGGGCAATGCTGGGGCCGGACTGACTGGTTGCCGAAACCACAGTCTCAGGGTCACGATGCACCAGCCAGGCACTCAGCTCCGTGCTAGGCACACGCAGATGATCCAGCGAACGCACCTGGTTCAATAGCCGACGAGTGGCAAAAAAATGGTCCAGATCCACACTTTTAGGATGGATGCCATAGCCGTCCAGGGTGTTGCGGAGATTGTGGAACTGCGTCTGGGTGTAGGCCGAGCTGGGGCCCAGGATGATCTCACGGAGCGGGGGGAGCTGATTGTTTAAGTAAGTGTCCAAGTCCACTCGTACCCCAATCAGACTCAGGAGGATAGTGAACTGAATAAGACCCTCTGTGAAGTACTTTTTCAAGTAAAGCATTTCTTTGCAAAGGAACAAAAAAGAAAACTCAAAAAGCAACTAAAAAGCAAAAAAAAGAAAAACAAATCACGCAAACAAACGTCAAACCAAATTAGGTTACGTTTAACCTTGTATATAATAAAAAATCAAAAGCAGACACAACATAAAATGATGCTCGCTTTGTTCCACAGTCATGTGCTTTTAATTAAATACTACTAAAGTTGAATCCACTTTTGTTTTTGATTAACGCTTTTGCGCCCCAAATAATATCCAGGTTATATCTGCAAGCATGAGTTTTTCCTGCAAACATAGAGAAGAGAAACAATAGTCAAAATGCCATTATATTGGCATGAATAACAGCTGATTATGATTGCAATGAAAGATTGATATAAATGAAAGAAACATTAAAGTTTACAACTTGCAGCATGACTTATCATGCTATACAAATCAAGTTTTATTATAATATCAAAAACAGAGTAATATCAATCTATATGTCACAGACCATTTTTGTTTTATATGTTATAAAACATTAATACATTATGACCTCCCACTAAATACACCCACCTCATAATCACACCCACATCCATCCACCCATCCCTGTATACCTCAAAAAACGTGATATCCTTAAAGGAATCCCGCATGTTCGCCGTCAATAACAGCAGATCGGTGACTGAACTCCGTCGTTTATTGTCTATTTTCACCACATCCTTCTAAAACCTCGTCTAAAGACAATTTATTTGTCCAGGCGCTGTGAAGTATTGACCTCTCACACTTCCGCTATCGGAGCCCAGCAGCCCGTTAGCAACAAGTGGCGCAACAGCCTCTGATTGGCTGAGATGGCTGTCACTCATTTTCCTCGCCGCGCTGCAGCCAATAATGAGGCGGGGCCTGACCGGGTTCTGCCGGGGACACTGAATTACTAATAACAACTTTTATTAAATACCCATTTCTGTTTATCGGTCAAACCTAGCCACTTACAACAATTCCTGTAGCTCAAGCAACGTTGTCACGTGCATTTGCTGCAGACACACCAACACACACTCCCACATTCGCAAATACGAAAGCTATAGCTAACTTAGCCAGCTAGCGTAGCATCAAAATAGTCGTTTTTTCATACTTACTCAGAATGAGTTTACTGACAAATGACTCCGAATACATCCATATGCATTCACAACCACTGTCATTAGTCACTTCCAGCTAACCATGCACTTATCCCCTCAGATATCTGTATGGTTGTCACTCCCCTCTCGCTTTGAATGGCCCACCATGACTTGCAGAATTTCCTCTTGCCGACAACTTGGCCGAAACTGAGGCGCTGAAACACGCTGCCACTGCGCAGGCGTAGAATATTCTAGCGAACATACGGCATGAGATCATTCATCAGAATTCCCCGTTGTATTCACAGCCCATAAATAATAAGATGCAATTTTAATTAAAACAATTAGATTTATTTATAAGATTTTTATTAGATTTATATTTAAGAACTTATGTCATTTGTTGTTTTACTATTGTTTTTAGTTTTACATGTATTGTGGCACCCTTACCAAAAACACAAAACTATTGACTATAGCCTACCTAAAACGCAGCATTAGGAAAAGTAATGGCATACACATAGTATACGTGTATTATTTTTTTTAAATTAAAAGTCATGTCATGTACGTCATTGTCTGCCGGTTATCCAGGGCCAGGTCGCGGGGGCAGCAGTCACAGCAGGGAAGGGAATCCCGGACTTCCCAGACACTTTCTTCAGCACTTCAAGGGGGATCCCAAGGTGTTTCCAGACAAGCAGAAACGCAGTCCCTCCAATGTCCAGGGTCATCCCCTGGGTCTCCCTCTGATGGGACAAACCACCTCAACTAGCATCTCTTGATGTGGAAGTGCAGCAGCTCACCTCACCCAAGAGCTCCTCAACTTGTCTTTAAGGTTGTGCCACTATGCGAAGAAAACTCATTTCACTTGTAGTGCAGTCTTGTACTTTTTTCATGACCCAAAGCTTATGACCAGGTTAGAGAAACATAGATTGAAGAGTAGCCTATATTTCGAGCTGTCCCTTCACAACAACAGACCAGTACATCAACCGCATTAGTGTTGCTGCTGCACTGATTCTCCTGTCAATCTCACTTTCCATCCTTCAACAACTTGTGAACATAATCCCAAGTTACTTGAACTCCTCCACCTGGGGTACAGACTCTCTTCCAAGCAGGAGATGGCAGGCCACTTTTTTTCAGTTGAGCACTCTGGTTTTGGCAATGTCACAAACCATCCCAGTGCATGCTGAATTTCCAGGTTTGATGGAGCCAACAGGACAGCATCAACTTCAAATAGCAGAGATGAAAACCTGTGGTCCCCAAATCATCCAGGGGTAGCACATCTTGTCAAATTCAAATGTTTATTAGAATAAACTACCTGTCGAATAAACACAAAAAGTTCATATGACATTTGAAGCTGACAAGATATGTGTTCTACATCCTTATCTAAAGCGGTAGACATTTGAAGCTGACAAGATTCAATTCAATTTGTTTATTGTCATGTGCACAGTAAGGAAACACGTTTCCCTGTACAATGAGATGCTCTATACTGTTTTTATTTTTATAGATTAAACATGACAGACTGAGCAACCAGTAGCACATTCTGAGGGTGTACAGATCGTCAGAACAATGCAAACCAAATTCCTGCTTTGGTCATAGAGGCAAGACAGCCCTTAACAGAATGTCTTGTACACCATAAAGTCAACAAAGCAACTGTGAAATGGACAGGTGAACTTTCACAAACCCTCGAGCACCCTAGAGAGCTGGTCCAGTGTTCCACGGCCAAGATGAAAACCACATTGCTCTATACTTTCCAGTATCCTTGCATCCTCTTGGATGCTGAGAAGTGTAGTCCCACTGTAGTTGGGTGCACAGCACTGTTCCCGACCTCCACATGATGCGGTAGAGGTAGTGCAAGGCTGCTGGGGTGGATAAGACTATCCCTGAGTACCTCAGTCTCTGGATGGGGTGGGGTTGTCTTAGTTGACAACTATTAAACATCGCTTAAAAAAGTAATGCATCAAATAGACTAGCTGTCAAGCATTTTATATGAATTTTTATATGAACTTGAATTGAAAGCCTTTACTCTAGTATATTAAAATAATATAAATTTTCTGTATATAACGAAATTAAGATTAATGGTGCTGGAAAACAAACAGTGTGCGACTCATATTGATGAGCAAGAGGGGTAAATTTTTTGGTAGTTTGGTAATGCATGCTTCAGTGAAACAAATTTATGAATGTATTTAAATTACATCTTATTTATTAATAAAATGTATACATTATCAGTGTTTTCAGGGATATTTAGTGAGTATTTTAGAGGTTACTGAAGGTCAAACTATGCAAATTATTTGTTTAATTGTTCTTTTTTAACACTACATGCAGATGTAAACACCAATTTTACAAGAAAAGTGTTATGTGAATACTTAAAATATTTGTCGGTGCACTATATCTGCCAGTTTCAGACTGTTGAGTGATACTTTTATCAGCTTTGATTGGTGCAATTATGCATTCACAATGAAATAAACAATTATAAAGTGGGTTAAATGTTTATTTATATTATACATTTTTAATTATTAATATTTAAGATAGAGATCAGAGATCAGAGAAAGCTATTTCCTACCATTAAAGTAAGTAAGAAATACACTTCTTGTGTTATGCCACAGCCATATCAACCTGCAGCCCAAGACCGGTTACTCACTGAAGCTAAGCAGGGCTGAGCCTGGTCAGTACCTGGATGGGAGACCACATGGGAAAACTAGGTTGCTGTTGGAATTGGTGTTAGAGAGGCCAGCAGGGGGCGCTCGACCTGTGGTCTGTGGTCCTAATGCCCCAGTAAAGTGAAGGGGACACTACACTGTCAGTGGGCGCTGTCTTTTGGATGCGACGTGAAACTGAGGTTCTGAATCTCTGTGGTCATTAAAAATTCCATGGCACTTCTCGTAAAGAGCAGGGGTGTAACCCGCAATCGGCCCATATGATCATGGCCTCCCAATCATCCCCATCCACTGAATAGGCTCTATCACTGTCTCTCCACTCCCCCAATAGCTGGTGTGTGGTGAGTGCACTGGCGCTGTTGTCCGTCGCATCATCCAAGTGGATTCTGCACATTGGTGGTGGTGTGAGGAGACCCCCCTCATAACTGTGAAGTGCTTTGGATGTATGGCCATACACAATAAATACACATTACATAACATTTTGTTTTTAAGTCCTTCAGGGGGGATCAAGCGTTAATTAGGGGGTCAAACCACAAACCACCTATAATTCGCACCTTGACACAGTAGTTCTTTAGTACAATATAGCTATGAACAACAAGTGAAGTCATATTGCACAACATATACAGTTATGTGTGTAGCAAATCTGCATGTAAATGACCAATGATTAAGTTACTGCACATAAACCTGAATATGTTCATATGAAAGGAAATGGCAATTGTGGTTTGTGACATATGCCAATTTTATTCCACTTAATAAATACAGCAACCAGGTGAACATACTGACAGAAAATGTACTGCAGACAGAAAGAAGACTGTAACGGAAAATGAACCTGTAGTAGAGCTAGTTCAATGATGCGACTGTAAAAGTTATTATTTTAACACTGACTTTCATGTTCATGCATTAGTCCATTTGTATGTTTGAAGTCTGAAAAGCAAATTGAAAATATCTACTCAATTTTTATCTTTGAAATTAGTTTGATCTAAGTTTGGCTACAAAATAAAATAAAATAATATCTACAATTTTTTTTGTTGTAAATGTAAACATTTCTACAGATGTTCTGTGAAAATACAAAAAACACAATTTTATTTTCTGTAAACAAATACAACTAAACTAATACAAATAGGAATTTAAACAAAAAACTCTAAAAACTGGTGTTATTGTTCAAAGTAAATATTAAGTTGTTATTTTAAAATAAAAACTTTTTCATGTGTACACATTTTATATATTATTTCAGTTTAAGATTGCTGTGTGAATATACTGTGTAACGTAACATATT